CTCTCTCTCTCTCTCTCTCTCTCTCTCTCTCTCTCTCTCTCTCTCTCTCTCTCTCTCTCTCTCTCTCTCTCTCTCTCGTGCGTCTATATATGTGTGTTTGTGTTCCACATTCCCCGATGAGGTCTGTTTGTCGTCTCTGTCCCCTTGTGCATGACTTGGATACCGATCTTGTGGGCACTAATGTGTTGCATGTTTTCTCTGGATGCAAAGGAAGGAGGGTTTCGCCACCTCCCTCTTGATTTTCCAAAGGGGTTTGCGTCTTTGCACGACTGGTAGTACTCCGACCGGACTGTTATGAAAACGACAAAGTGCAGCTTGAATGGGTCCAGGAGGTACAGGGCGGGGGTTATGGCTGCGCTTGGCTGCAGATCTCGTCCATTCGTTATGGGGCCTGCTTGATCAAATGGTGCCCATCATTCATTCCCCGCACACATCGCGAAAGGAACAATACACTCACCATTCATTATGGGCCCTGCTTGATCCAATGGAGCCCATCATTCATTTCACTGAACCACATCTCGAAAGGAATAATGAAGCTGATGTGTTTCAGTGAAGGTGGGAACATGATGTGATGTTGTGCGTGAATGAACTTCACGAAAAGAAGATGTTGTGCGTGAAGACACAGTCGTACTCTTTTCAAGGCTTTTGACTCTTTTCTTTCCCTTCACATGGACTGTGGATTGTTTTTCTCATTTGCTCGAACAAATGAATCGACAATGCATTATCATCGATTGGATCGAGGGCATACTCACTCTAGGACTTTGTCTACTCTGCTCTCGACGTGGTTGCGGTCAAATACATCCGCCTCCGCCCGTAATTGCAGTCAAATACATTGAAGAAAGGTCTAGTGTGAGGATCCCCCGAATTCGTGCTCCTTTCAGACTGTGTGTGCCTTTCCACCAACCAACAAATGTACTGTTTTCTTTCAGACTGCGTGCAAATTTACTGTTTTTTTTTTAAGACTGCCTGCAATGCAATGTACTGTGTTCGCCTGAGTTAGGTGTGTGGAAGGTAGCGCTTGGCAGAGAGACATGTGTCGTTTCTCCCGGGGGGCGGGGTTGGTCAAATGGAATGAAGCACTGAACTAAAAGTTCTGAAACCTTTCTTCCTCTTACTTTTTTTTAACTTTTTTTTTGCCGAACTGACCCGCCCCCCCGGAAATTCCGAGGCATTTTACTTTTTTTAAGTTTTTAAAGTTTTTAAAACTTTTTTTCTGATTGCCTCAGGATTCGAGTTGAGGTCTCCTTTACCAAACAGTTGATGGGTGTACCATTCAGCCACATGGGCAGGGACCGCTGGGTCCGAAACCTTTTTGGCTTTCGAGAGTCGCGCGGTGGAGAGCTGCTGCCTTTCGTCCCGCCAAGACAAAGCCCTCAGTGGAGCTTGCCTACTTCTGCCGAATACAAACCCAGCGACTGTATCTGATCAGCAACACACCGGTGTCTCGCTGTGGACTGGGAGTGCAAGAAAAAAAATGTTAGAACTTGTGTAAGTTTATGAGAACATGATAATTGTTAATAATTATTAATTAGCCCGGTACGATGTCCAATGTCTTAGACTGTGCACCGCTGTGGCGCTGACGTCTATCGTTCCACCAGCGCCACCTTCGTCGGAGCCTCGAAAGGCGCGGGGAAGCGAAGAGCACTGACGACCAGTTTCATAATGACCGGACATTGTGTTCGGGAGAAGAAGCTAGTGGTGGTGGCATCGGAATGTACTGATAAAACGGGTAAACCGCCAGTACTTGGCCCAGCTATCAGCTGTGGGGAAAGCAAACAAAACACAGAGAAGAAACATTTCTACTCGGATGAATTTCGGCCTTGTCCGTGGTGACCCGTACATATTTCCTAAAATGGTGGCTTGTTAACGGTCACGGCTTTAGGAAGCATACTGGTGGTTTAATCACATGCAGGCAGGGTTGGGCCGTTCAAAAAATCACCGAAAACTTTCCGCGAAAAGGGGCGCGATCGTTGGCTGCATGGAAACGGAGGAGGGCTTATACACCGCTTCCATGCAGCCGACGATCGCCCCTTTTCGCTGAACGATCGCCTCTTTCAGCGAAAATGCATGGTTGCATCGCATGAAACGTTTCCGGTTTACTAGCGTAGCGTCCCAGGGTGGAGCTCCCTCCCTCCTAAGCCTTCTTCCGCAAAATACAACGCCCTTTGACAACGTCCGGTCAGCAGCGACACAGCTCGCTTATCTTACCCATTCCGTTTTTTTTGTTTTTTCTGTTTTTTTCAAAGGGCGACGACTTTGGGATGTTTTCATCGATTGGACCGGCCCTGGCCCCTGGGTAAGTAATTCAGAATGATTTATTGCATCCATCAAGGTCTAGCAGGACTTGAACTGGGGTCTGTCATTCAACAGTTCATGGGTGGTACCCTTACCTTACCCATTCCGTTCATAATGGCCGCGCGTTTTGCCGAGGAGAAGAGGTTAGTGAAAAATCAGCGAGGGGTGGAATTTACTGTACAGTGTACAGTGTATACACTGCCCAGCAGTGCCGACAGGCTTCCAGGTTATCTGCATTGCTCGGCAATGCGGACTCTGAAAAATCGTAGGTAAGAATGGGTCATCCTTGCCCATTCTTTTCGCATCACCCAAAGGGTTTGTACACTCTGTAGTTTTGTGATTCAATGTAGAACCGCATCAAACGCATGTTGCGCTTTCACCGGGTCATGCAGGACCTTGTGCCTGGAATGACTGTTATTGTTTTGTTTTGTGGCTTGCCTCGCAAAGGCAATCCGGGTTCGGCACTGGCAGAAAGGGGGCGGGGGGGGGGGAGGAGGGTGGAACAGAAGTTGTGTGACGAGTAGTATTGGTGTTTTTTTTTTGGAGTTTGTTTATTTGCAGGTGATGGTACTGACTTCACACGAATGCATCATCCGGTGGGGGGGAGGAAGGGTGGAACAGGAGTTGTGTGACGAGTAGTATTGGTTCTTTTTTTCTTCTTTTTTTTGGGTGTTTGTTTATTTGCAGGTGATGGTACTGACTTCATGCGAATGCATTGTCCGGTCATTATAACGTGTATTTGGGGCAGCACTCGGTCTAGATGCACGGCAGTGATGGGGAATGGAACAGAAGTTGTGTGACAAGTATCGGTGTTTGTTTATTTGAGGGTGATGCTACCGTCTTTATGCGAATACATTGTCTGGTCATTATAGCTGTGTATTTGGGGCAGCATTTCAGTCTACTAGATACAGCAGCAGTGATGGCCGGGCGTTCTAGTATACAGGTGGTGACAACGGTAAGAACTCTGGGCTGAAGCCGCGTAATGACCCCAGCAGGGAAGTTATATGTATAAAATTTATATTATTTCTACGGGACGCTGGACCCTGGTTTCCAGCAGGTGACGCTCATTGATCCACTCGAGCGACCGCTGACTGGAGCCACTGCGGTAGGGAGGGTGGCTCATATCACCCCCCCTTGTAGCCTGCCTTGTTTTTTCAAAAAAAAAAAAAAAAAAAAAAAAAGAGGAAACAAATTTAACGAACTTAACAACAAAGGTTCTGAAAGGTTCTCAGATAGTCTCTGAGTGGGGTATTCAGAAATATTCTGGGTGGTTTCTGGAAAAGCAAAATCTCAGTTCTCCTGAGAGATGCTTTCTGAGTCCAGCCAGGCACAGGCAGCTGAGATTTCGAGTTTTAATCGATATTTGTGGAGTTGATTATCGGCATTATCCTTCTCGAAAAGATAGATTTGAAGTGGTGTATAACTTACCGAGTAATCAGTATAACTCACGTCTTCGTGTACATACACGCGTAGATGAAATAGCTCCCATCTGTTTGGTAGTCAAATTATTTCCGGCAGCTGGTTGGTGGGAACAAGAAGTATGGGATATGTTTGGTGTGTATTTTTCCAACCATCCTGATTTACGTCGTATATTAACAGATTGGCAAAAAGAAATGATGAAAATGACAAAAAAGCATGGCTGGGTGTCAGAAAGGATGACCCTGGGGGAGCAAAGGGAATCATCGGGGGAGCAAAGGGAATGCAGAGGAATCAGTATCCTCAAAGTCGCAGGTTCAAATCCCGCTTCGCTTTGCTCCCCCCCCAGATGATTCTGCATTCCCTTTGCTCCCCCGATGATTCCCGGGAGAGTATGCATAAGAGGAAAGGAGGTGGTGGGTTTGGGAGGGGGTCTGGCAGTAAGTGGATAAAGTAAACGATGTTTGTGGGTTCAAATCTTGCTTCCGTGTGTTTAGTTGGAGGAGGCAAGGGAGGGAAGGAGGGAAGGAAGGAAAGGGAGGAAAGGGAGGGATTGATTGCGTAAAGAACCATCATTCACAGGGATGGGATAATGAAATTTTTGTTTTAATTTGCTTGGAATATCTGAATCTATCAAACACAGAATCGGTATATGTAATTGATTAGCTTCAAGTATGGCCATGGAGTTCTTCTGATTTGCATTCATTATCACCAATCAGTCTGGAATATCTTTTGTAAAAATTCCTTCAAAGCATTGCAGAAATCAGAAGGGTCCAAAATTCTCCAAATCCCTTTTTTCCTGGGGCGATTGAGACACTACCTAGTACCTTATAAATTGCTCGAAGGTTACAAGGGGAAGTTTGGAGGAATGGGAGGAAAGGGAGGGGGGAGTGGGAATTGGGGGTAGTTGGAGGGGGGGCGAGGGATTTTTGCGAGAAGCAAATGAAGGGGAAAAATATTTTACAAAGTCAATCGTGGGCACAGAAGTGTGATCCCGGAAATCCAGTGCGCCCTAGGCTACCAGAGTGGCCCGCCCGGGTCCACTTGCCCGGCCGGGCCAAAACGAAGAAAAAAAATCATAATAATAAAAATTGTTTTTTAATTTACAATTTTTA